TTTTTTAAGTGTGTTCTTTCTCAATGTCTTGATCTTTTTATTATTCAAGGAGAAGGGTGGGTTGGACACCATGTCTTCTTCCACGCGTCCACCCATGTCAACCACCCTGTTTAAATCACAGGTGGCCTTGGACTCAGAACCTGTAGGAACAACAGCATCTAGCAAGGAGTTACATATTTATTTATATCCTGTCTTTTTTTTTTTTAAGATTTATTTATGCAAACAGAACTGGGGCGCAGGCCAGAGGTGCAGGGGCAGTGAGAGGATTCACCAGAGACAGAGCCGGGAGCAGAGGCAGACTGACGAAGTACACTGCTGAGGGGAGCCGCGGGCTGGTCAGGAGAGGTCTGCGGCCACGTGGTCACCTCCGCGCGGGGGATCGAACTCGCCCTGAAGCGGCTGCCGCGAGCTTGCAGTGCTGTGTCATAACCCGTTGTGCCACCAGGAAGGGCCCTCGTGTCTTCCCCACCCCTCCGCAAGCGATTCTGATTTTCATTTGTTGGTAACAGAGCAATACAAAATTTCCTTCATACATAAATCTTTATCCAGAAGCTGCCCACTGGCCCACTTCCAGCACCTTCCGCAGGAAACTTGCAAAGAGTGAACAAGGTCAGAGCGAGTGCAACCGGGGACCAGCACCGGCCCCAGGAGAACCGTGCTGCTTCTCCCAGCGTGGGGGAGACCAGGGGAGGCCAGGGGCTGTGAGCCTCAGACAGGGCAACAGAGAGGCAACAAGTTCCACCTGGGATGTACCCCAAAGGGCAGATGTATGAGGACTTGGGGGGAAAAGGGCAAGGACGAGCCTTCCTCGGGCCACGGAACCCTGCTTCTTGCCTATACACCCCCACTGTGGTCCAAGTGACCTGGACCTCCCGAGGTGGAGGCGGTCAGAGGGCGGGTCTCTGGCCGCCCCCACCCCTTCTGCCCTCTGAGAGGGTGGGTGGGGGCCGGCTCCTCCCAGGCGGCTTAGGAGTTTGGAGTCACCACGTGACTTTCCCCCGGCCTCAGGAAGCAGTTCCTGCCGCCTCCACTAGACTGCGCTGTGAGTCACTTTCTCGGTCCCTGCTGGTTAGTTTCGGGCGGGAATGGGGCGGCAGCCTTGCCAGCGTCGGAGGAGCTGGCCCTGGTCAGCAGCAGGACCCAAAGTGCTGGCACTACTCTCTCCAGTGAGGAGGGGGAGAGTGCCCTATGGGAGACTCCGGCGTCTGTCCGTTGTTGGCTCTCTTCCTCTGGGGCCCAGGCACACCGCAATGGGGAGGGGACCTCAAAACCCAAGCTTGACTTCCTCGGCTCCTACTTCTGACTGCTCTCAGCTGGGTGTCCACCAGCCGCCATCTTTATCCCCGTATTCCTTCAGAACAGTAATGGCAGTCGCTGGAGCAGAAGGGACCCTGGCCCCACCGCACCCAAGTCTAAGAATTTCACATTCCTATTATCCTCTAAAGCAAAGTTCACTGGGGAGAGGAACCTTTTTTTTTTTTTAAGATTTATTTATTTATGAATACAGAACTGGGGTACTGGCCAGAGGTGCAGGGGTGGTGAGAGAACTCACCGGAGACAGAGTGGGGAGCAGAACAGGCAGATGAGGAAGTACACTGCTGAGGGGAGCAGCGGGGAGACAGGTGAGGTCTGCTGCGGTGTGGATCACCTCTGGGGCGGGGATCGAACTCACACTGAAGCAGCTGCGGCTCGCTTGCAGTGCTGCACTTAACCCGCTGCGCCACCAGGGAGGGCCTGGGGAGAGGGAGCTTTTAACCCAGCACCAGCTGCAAGATGGAGTGGTGTCTGGGGCTCCTGCACGGTCGAGTAGCATAGCTATAGCACTGGTGCGGCTCAGCCCTCACTGGGCTGCTGACATGTTCTGCCCCCCGTCCGAGCTCCACCTGGCCCTCCACGCCCCCACATCATGCCACACATGAGCTTGTTGCCCAGCTAGGAACACTGGTACTCTAGAAGTGTCTTGCGTCCCCTCCCCACCAGGTCCTGTCCCTTCGAGGGTCACAACCCCTCTTTTCCTG